TTTTTTTTTTTTTTTCCAAACGACATATATTCTCATTAAACGTTTCAAAACGAATAACAAAGTCCAATACAAACCAGTACAAACCATAAAGCCGAGAACTGAGAGTACCACTTAATTGTGGCCTAGAAAAACAACCGATCAATAACTTTACAAGAATAAGGCAGTTACACACAACCGAAGTCCTTATTCTTGATCAGCAGCCTAAGATTCAACATAAAAAAACAAAAAAACTAGATTTCATACAATACTTATATACATTATGATGCTTTGCTCCTTCATTGCCCAAGAAATTTAACCAGTCTCTCATTGCAGCTCGAACTATGAGGTGAGCAGGTCTTCGTTGATGCTCAAAAACCCATAGAAGCCCAAGAATTTGGAGCAATTATTTTTTCAGCCATTATTGCATACACTTTTTGCTTTTTTTAAACATAACATCAATCATCAATTAATGCATCCTAAAATATTGGGTTTTGTTTCAACACGTGTACATATTTTTAAATGTGTATTAGAATTGAAGACTTTGAAATGTGTAGATACGTGTTTGAATAAAAATCTTAATAACGAATTTGATAAATGAATACTCAAAATAATAATAAAAAATCCACACAGAGATGACGTAATAATTTTCGGTATCATCTCAATATTTATTTTATATATAATATGTAAATCATCTGTCAATTTTAATATTTTGAACATACATTTTTTTTTTTTATATATATATTCTAATTGAAGATAATTTTATTACATATAACCCCACATCTTTAATTTACAATTATAATTAATATTGTTTATCTTCATCTTCAATTTATAATTATTATTAATATCACACGTAACCAACTAATGACGAATGAAATGAGAGACCTCGTGGCGAGGTTTAAAAGCCAATACAAGGTAAAGGCAACAGAGAAGGCTGAAAACCTCAGCTAAAACTAAACAAGGAAGAACAAAGACTAATGAGGAGATAAAAGATGAGAGATTATACGGTTCCATTACGGAACCATTTCGTCGGGGTTTGTAACGTTACATCAACTATCCTTGTCAGTTATATGATGATCTAACTGTTACAAATCTTGATTGAATAATTTCATAATGGGACTGTAACATTTATCGATAAAAGTTAGCCCGAGTAACACAGCTGAAAAATACAATGCTAAAAGCACATTCATATCTCGCTCGTATTTCATATTATATAATAACGAGGGTCTTGGCTTGGGTCTTTGTCATTTTCTTCACTAAGACTATCTTTAACTCATGGGTCACCAATTTTAAAAAAAAAAAGGATAAGTATCAAAATGGGACACTTGTCTCATTTTGATTGGATAAGTGTATTTTTTTTAAAAGTGTATTTTTTTTATTTTAAAAAAATAAAAATAATATTAAAATTCGTATTTTTTCATTCTCTACAAACAGAGACCTTGATATATTTTAGAATAAAATTATAATTTTTAAATAAATTAAATGAAAATAAATATTTAATTGAGTTGGGTTGATGATAAGATAAGTTGGAAGATTGAGTTGTGTATGTAGATGATAGAAAAATAATTTTTAATTATAAGAGCACCTGCATCGCCAATTCATTTTGGGCGTTTAAACGCCACTTGTGCATTCAAAAGAAATGTGGGCGTTCATTATTTTGTGGGGCCCCCAAATTCATTCAGCCCATTGAACGGGCGTTCTTTATTTTTTTATTATTTTGTGTTAATTTAATTGTTTAATCTTGACTTTTCTTTTTTTTTTTGTTCAAGCCAAGTTGTCTTTTTTCTTTTTTTTTTTGTTTCAAAAGTGTTAATTATTTAATTTTTTTTCTTTTTGTTTTATTTATTTATTTATTTATTTTATTCTTTATCTATATCACACATTTGAAAAATTCAAATTCTATTAATTTAAGTGTTTTTTTATTTTCATTAAATTAAATTTTATTTTTATAATTTAAAAATATTAAATTTATATTTTGGTTAGGAATAGAATATTAAAATTTATATTGAATGAGTGGATAATGTGGGTGCCATATATGTATTTAAATGAATGTTAGGGAATGTGAGTGTGTGTTTAAATGGAGAGAGAGTAAGTGGAAAGATGATGTGGATGTGAGAGAGTGTTACTTTTTGATTGAAATGGAAAGATGATGTGGATGTGAGAGAGTGTTAATTTTTGATTGAATGAATGATATTTTGGTTAATGGGATGTGGATGCCTAGGGGGTGATTGTTTACCACTTCTACAGTAATTTTTTTTACTCAAATTTAAATTTAACTTCACTTTAACTCAACAACATTATCTTCAATATTATTATATAATTAAATAACATCAACAAATCATTATGACATATCACATCAACTTTAATTCATTATTCATCTACTCACATAATTTTAACTAATTTTAACTAACTATCACTTCCAATCATTTTCTCTTACTTTTACATCAAATCAACTTTAACTATTTTATTTTAAATAATATTTTAATATATCCCTAACAACTAACCATACTACTTTTTCTTAAACTTAATCATAATTAAAAAATTCTAGATTTTTTACTATTCAAAATATAAACAATCACCCCTTAAAGTTGGGTTGGATTAGTTTGGGATAAAGATAGTCTAAAGTGAATCTTTGACAAAATCGTCACAATTTTGTTGCTGCTATCACATTCAGTTGGTTCATGTGGAAAGAAAGAAAATGTCTGAAACCTACAGGGCCTAGCTAGTTTATAATTCTATGTAATATCAACCCTTTTTGCACCTTTAATACAAATAAATTAATATCTCGCCTGTTAATTTCACGTAAAAGTTGAAACAATCCTTCTGAATAAACATAATCAAAAAATGCACTTATTATATATATTTTAGTCAATTGTCTCTCTTTCAGATAATCAAAATACAATCAAATATGCATAACAACAATAGACTATACATAAATTAATATTTAGAATCGACAGCAGGAATCCTTTTCACTGCATTTAAACTCATCTTTATCCAAATTGACGCGGAAATAAGAAATTCATGGCGCACAACAGCTCATGTGGGTTTGTTGGAGCAAAAGATATATAATTAGCAGATTTATAATTAGGCTTATTTTTATTTTTATTTTTTCAAAACGATAGATTTTATAACAAATAAAACACAGATACAACTAGACATCAGCTAGAATAAGTCAACCAGCTATCAAGCCGAATCTAGGAGGATCACACACAAATGTGTGTCCCGGAAATAGCCAAACTAACA